GCTGCACCATTTTACATTTCTACCAGCAAAGCATGAGGGTGCCAGGTGCTGTACATCTATTATTTTGAATACATGTGTATGGGCATTTCATAACCACTGTTTTAGAGGTGAGAAACCTGTGGTTGCAAGAGGTTAACTAACTTGCAGGAGGTCATTCAGCCTGACAAAGCCAGTATTCAACCCTATCTAGTTCCAAATCCCATCCCTTTCTACTGTGGACTGGCTCTGTGCAGGGTGTTTGTGCTGGTTAATAGGGCTGGGGGAGGGCACTGCAGTAACTCTGCTTCTAGCTTACTCTGTGGATCCACCCAAGTGATCAGGTGCATAATGGAGCCTGTGGCCAGGGAAAACAGAAGGAGGGCTGTTTGGACCAGATACCAAGTCTTTTTGGACCAGATACCAAGGCCAACAATGATTTACATAACTCATTTGTCTCTCTCTTTTTTTTTTTTTTTTTTTTTAATATAGAATTTCACTCTTGTTGCCCAGGCTGGAGTAAATGGTGCAATCTTGGCTCACCGCAACCTCTGCCTCCTGGGTTCAAGCAATTCTCCTGTCTCAGCCTTCCGAGAAGCTAGGATTACAGGCATGCACCACCATGCTCAGCTAACTATTTTTTTGAGATGGAATCTCGCTCTGTCACCCAGGCTAGAGTGCAGTGGTGCGATCTCGGTTCACTGCAACCTCCACCTCCCGGATTCAAGCAATTCTCTGCCTCAGCCTCCTGAGTAACTGGGATTACAGGCAACCACCACCACGCTCGGCTAATTTATGTATTTTTTAGTAGAGTCGGGGTTTTTCCATGTTGGTCAGACTGGTCTTGAACTCCCGACCTCAGGTGATCCGCCCACCTCAGCCTCCCAAAGTGCTGGGATTACAGGCATGAGCCACCACACCCAACCATCTCTTTATGTTTGGAATGAAACTTCAGTCCAGGTTAACCAGTGACACAGCAAAGGAATAAGCTGAGCACTATAAAGAGTCCCCATCACTGTGGACTTTGACAGCCTCATAATCACTTGACTGGCCACAGAACAGGGAGAGGAGATTTTTGCTTTCCACTGTTTCTGAGTCAGCAAGTAGTTAGTTACTGAAATCACATCCGCTAACAAGTCCAGGCAACTGCTGACTGCATTGTTGCCGTTGCCTTGTTTTGTATGGCTGGCCAAAACACAAACAGCAGGGTGTATAAATTGATTATATAAAAACATGGGAAATGACACAGTCAAATTGAAAACACCAAGCAAAACTTATTGCTTTCTATAATCTTTATCTTCAGCAGGATTTTAATATAAGCCTATCTTCTCTTATCCATATCTTTCTATATCACTGTCTCTAGGGGGACTATGTTAGGGTAAACAAGCATGGAGTTGGCATTTTCACTCATCCGTCCTTGACAGCATGGGCTGTGTCTTGTTCAGCTTCGTATTCCCCGCAGTGCATAGCATGACGTTGTGTAACATCAACCTTCTTCCTATATCTTGCCTGGACTATTGTCATCTGTCTCCCAGCAGCCATCCTCCATCCATAGCTCCTCTATCCAGGCCATTTTCTACACTTCCTTTTGAATTGTCTTTCTGATATGCATCTTTTATTCAAGAATAAATGAAGACATTTTATTATTTTATTTTTATTTTTAGAGACAGGGTCTTGCTGTGTTGCCCAGGCTGGAGGGCAGTGGCGTGATCATAGTGCGCTGCAGCCTACACCACCTGGGCAAGAGCGATCCACCCGCGTCACCCCAACTCCCATCCCCTAACAGCTGGGACTACAGGTGTACTCCACCACACTCAGCTAATTTTTCAAAATTTTTTTCCTTTTTTTTTTTTTTGCAGAGACAGGGTCCCACTATGTTGCCTAGGGTGGTCTTAAAGTCCTGGCTCAAGTGTTCTTCCTGCCTCAGCCACCCAAAGCCCTGGGATTACAGGCATGAGCCACTGCACCTGGCCAATGACATTTTATTATTTGATTAGGTTCATGGTGCTGCAAATATAACAAAGGTGATACCAAACATGTCTGCGTATTTTAAAGATGCCTATTGATCTATGGGATGGCCAAAATAAAAGAAAAAATATTTTAAGGTTGTCAATTGCTGTGAAACAAAGTCCATCTTCTTTACCAGATCATGAAAGATCATTATATAACCTGCTTTGCCGACCTACAGCTTTGTTTTTCACCATTCTCTTCCCCTTTCTGCTCTTTCTGGAAGGACCACTATTCATTCTTCCTGTATTTTTCAGCATTTGCCTCAGGCCTGGATATAGAACAAGTGTTCAGTAAATATTTCTTGTTAGATTGAGAGTTGCTTTGACCTGCTAAGAGCTATATTAATTCCATAAGCCTTCAAAGGAGACTTCTAAGTCCTGAGACATTCTTCATAGCAGAGGAGGTGTGAGAATGATGAATAAATGATTACCTATTTTTACTCTTCTTCTCAGAGTAGAATCATTGATTCATTCAACCTCTGTCTTGAATGTTTTTAAAGGTCAAATCTTTGTTTTGAAATTATACAAATGGGTTGGGCACAGTGGCTCACGCCTGTAATCCCAGCACTTTGGGGGGCTGAGGGAGGTGGATCACCAGAAGTCAGGAGTTCGACACCAGCCTGACCAACATGGAGAAACCCCGTCTCTACTGAAAATACAAAATTAGCTGGGCGTGGTGGCACACGCCTGTAATCCCAGCTACTTGGGTGTCTGAGGCAGGAGAATCGCTTGAACCTGGGAGGCAGAGGTTGCAGTGAGCTGAGATTGCACCATTGCACTCCAGCCTGGGCCACAAGAGTGAAACTCCGTATCGAAAAAAAAAAAAAAAAAGAAATTGTACACATGGCTCCTCCTCAAATTAGAAGAAATTCATAAAGAAATAGCAACTGAGTGTTAATTTTCTTAACATTAGACTATTTAGTGAAATGTAATTTGAAAGGCTTTAATGGTCATTTAAACTTGAACTGCTTTTTCTTAGGAGAGCATAAAAATAAATGAAGGAAAGAAAACATAAATGAGGCCAGGTGCGGTGGCTCAAGCCTGTAATCCCAGCACTTTGGGAGGCCGAGACGGGCGGATCACGAGGTCAGGAGCTCGAGACCATCCTGGCTAACACGGTGAAACCCCGTCTCTACCAAAAAAATACAAAAAACTAGCCGTGGGAGGTAGCGGGCGACTGTAGTCCCAGCTGCTCGGGAGGCTGAGGCAGGAGAATGGCGTAAACCCGGGAGGCGGAGCTTGCAGTGAGCTGAGATCCGGCCACTGCACTCCAGCCTGAGCGACAGAGCCAGACTCCGTCTCAAAAAAAGAAAAAAAAAAAAAAGAAAAAAAGAAAACATAAATGAAAGATCTCCATAGACTATTAAAGGCTGCCTATTCTTTACAAATATCATGGAGGTCAACATTTAGCAGTTCCGCCAATGCTATTCTGGGAATTGGATGAGTCAAAACTATTAAGAGAATCAAAAACTTTAGCCAGTTTCAAATTAGCATATGCATTTGTAAATTTAATGATACATTAATGAACTTACAATCATACTGTTCTGTGCTATTATATGTATGACAGCCATATAAGCAAGTTGACATAACAGAATTTTTATCAGACCCTTTAATTATATACATATAGACAGTATTTAAAAATTAAACTAGGTACAAAAAAAAAACTAGGAAAAATATTTGTAGCTAATTTGACAAGAGTTAGTATATATAGTGTTATACAAAAAAGCTATTAAGATAAAACACTGTCTCCAACAGTGCTGATGGGCAAAAGGCATGAAAAGACAAAAGGGTTAATATGATTAACAGATAACATGGAAAAGTTATTCAATTTCAACTTCACCAGAAATCAGTATACCAGTTTTTGCTAAGCAAATTAGCCAAAGTTAAAGAAAGAACTAGTGACATCATCCAAAGCTTCTAAGTATGTGATAAAACAAGGAACAGATATATGTTTGGTGGCAGTATAAAATTTGTACAATCCCCCAGTGTGGCAGTAAGTATATGCAAGGATCTTAAAAACGTTCATGCTTTTTGGTAATTTAACTTCTGGAATCTATACTTAAGGAATGATCCTAAATGAGAAAAAATATATACATTATGCAGAAAGACATTTGTCAAAATATTATTTATGGTTGCAAACCACCTGAATATTGAACAGTAGGAGAACACAAGATAAAGTCTTGTGTATTTATTTGCGGATATATTTATATAAATAGATATGATATGTTTATCAAATATTTATTTGAGCAAATATGAATCAACATGGACAACTTCCATAATCAAAATGTTGAAAAGGAAATGAAAGCAAGTTGTAGAATACTTTATACATTTCATGGTACTAATTATATAAAGTTTAAAACATGCAAATAATATTACATATTACTTAGCAATACATACATATGTGGTAAAAGCATAAAGAGTAGGCTGGGCCTGGTGACTCGCATCTGTAATCCTAGCACTTTGGGAGGTGAGGCGGGCAGATTGCCTGAGCTCAGGAGTTCGAGACCAGCCTGGGCAACACAGTGAAACCCCGTTTCTACTAAAATATAAAATAAATTAGCTGGGCGTGGTGGCGTGCGTCTATGGTCCCAGCTGCTTGGGAGGCTTAGGCAAGAGAATTGCTTGAACCTGGGAGGCAGAAGTTGCAATGAACTGGGATCGCGCCACTGCACTCCAACCTGGGCGACAGAGCGAGACTCCGTCTTAAAAAAAAAAAAAAAAAAAAAAAGCATAAAGAAATGCATGGGCTGAATAATCACCAAATTTCAGAAAGTGGTTACATACGTTAGAGATGGAGGAAGCTGCAAATGAGGATGATTACACAGAGGGTATCAGCTACACTGACAATGTTTTATTTCTTAAGCCCTGTGGGATACATGGATGTTCATTCCATTATTCTTTTTATCTTTTTGTATATCTTAAATCTTTCATGGTAAATTTACAACGTTATGTAGCTATAAAATAGTTCCATAGAAAGGCAATACAATAACAGGCCTTCTCTGGGGGAGGCGGGGCATGCCGGGCCGCGCGCGGGCTGCTGGGAACGGGGCAGAGCGCGGCCGCGCCGGCGCATTGAGAGAAGCGGAAATCGCCGCGAAGGACGTGTTCCTCATGATTCGGCGCCACAAGACCGCCATCTTCACTGATGCCGAGGAGCCCAGCACGGTGTTCGAGCTGAAGTGCATCGTGGAGGGAATCCTCAAGCGGCCTCCCGACGAGCAGCGGCTATGCAAGGACGACCAGCTCTTGGATGATGGCAAGACACTTGGCGAGTGTGGCTTCACCAGCCAAACAGCATGGCCACTGGCTCCAGCCATAGTGGGGCTGGCCTTCCAGGCAGACGACACCTTTGAGGCCCTGTGCATCGAGCCGTTCTCCAGCCCGCCCGAGCTGCTCGTCGTGATGAAGCCCCAGGACTCTGGAAACAGTGCCGGTGAACCAGCTGTGCAGTGAGGACCCCCGAGAGGCGTATTCCCCCCAGTAAAAGAGATTTGGGAGTCTGAAAAAGAAAAAACATGGAAAAAGTTTGTACTATGACATTAAGTTAAACAAATTACATATTCAAAATGATTACAGCTACTTGAAAGCCATCCAAAAATCTTGCAAAGAAATATCCCCCAAAGTTACTGTTTTTCACATTGGATGGTGATGTTACCTCCTTATTCCTTTAAAACATATCCTCTATTTTCTCTTATTATTGACATTACAAATATAATTGAAAAACGGTAAACCTATTTTTCAAATAAGCATGATATATTCATTAGTTACTAAGCCATTTGTACTATTATGTCACATTTGATTTGTAAATTAATGTTCTGCTTAGCTTTGAGTTTAGCATCATGTGTAAGTTGTGGAAGGATGGAGAAGACTGGAGAGAGAGGAGGTTGGCAGGGACCTGAGTTTGTTGACAAAGGATGAAAGCAGGATGGGCTGGACGCAGTGGCTCATGCCTGCCATCGTAGCACTTTGGGAAGCTGAGGAGGGAGGATCACTTGAGCCCAGGAGTTTGAGACCAGCTTGGGCAATGTAACGGGACCCTGTCTCTACAAAAAAAAATTAGTCTGGCATGGTGTTGTGTGCCTATAGGCCTAGCTACTCAGGAGGCTGAGACAAGACAATTGCTTGGGTACAGGAGTTTGATGCCATGGTGAGCTATGATTGCATCACTGGACTCCAGCCTGGACAACACAGTGAGACCCTATCTTAAAAAGAAAAAAAGAAAGCAAGGTGGGCCAAGGCTTGCTGTTATAGATTCCTGAAGTATTTGAGGAAGATTATTCTGATTGTTACGGGCAATCTAGGTTGGCCTCCAGTGAGACTTGAAGTAGCAGCAAGGTTCCTTATATGAAAGTATGGAACATAAATTCACTTTGTTGAAAGAAAGAATAAATGAATGGAAGAATAAGTCAGAGCTAATATTAATTTGAGGCTCTTAATTCAAGCTTAGATACTGTTATTTCAGTGATTTCCCATGGATCTTAGAATTTTAGAACTGACCTGGGTCTTGGAGAGCATTTGTTTTAACTTCTTTATGTTATGGCCAAACAAACTAAATTCCAGAGAAGCTGAATAACACCACCAAGTAAATAAAAGAGGGTATTTGGACTTTCCTTTCATCATATTATTAACTTTCTTAAAAGAAATCAGGTGGGCCAGGCGCAGTGGCTCACGCCTGTAATCTCAGCACTTTGGGAGGCCGGGGCAAGCAGATTCTTTGAGGTCAGCAGTTCGAGACCAGCCTGCCCAACATAGTGAAACTCCATCTCTACTAAAATTACACAAATCAGCCAGGCATGGTGGCAGGTGCCTTTAGTCCCATCTACTCAGGAGGCTGACCTGTAGTCCCAGCTACTTGGGAGGCTGAGGCAGGAGAATCACTTGAACCTGGGAGGCAAAGGTTGCAGTGAGCTGAGATTGCACCACTGCACTCCAACCTGGGCGACAGAGTGAGACTTCACCTCAAAAAACAAAAAACAAACAAAAGGCAAGTGGGAGCCTAATCTTTTTACAAGAAAATGTACTACAAATTCCTCGGCCTGCCCTTTGCCACTTATAGAAAACCCCTGACAATCTGGCTTCAACCTATCTTTCCACTTTATCTCCCACTAATCCTCCAGAAAAGCATGGAATTTCTGTTATCCTTACCAATAAGGCCCTCCACCCTTCTCTCTGCCTATCTAAAACAATTCATCTTTCAAGGTACAACTAGAATACCAAGAGTATAATCCAGAGGTAATGTCATGAGTGCCTGAATTTGATTGAAATGTGTGGAAATGAAGTAGAATGGAAAAAGCTTGTGCTTAAGAAAGGGGAGAACAAAGAAGCCATGGGGAATAATAATAACAGTACTACTAATAATGGCAGTGTTAACTACTAACATTAAATGCATGCTTATGATATGCTAAGCCCTGTGTTAACCATTTTTTGTTCATTATTACACTTAATAATGTTCTCAGTAACTCTGAAATCATATATCAGGATTGTGTTACATGTAGCAGAAAACCTTATTATAAGAGGTCAGGTTTTTTTTTTTTCTTCTATTCAATAAGGAGGCCAGTCCAGTTTTGTGTGACCATGAGAGGTCACCAAGAACCCAGGCTCATTCTGTCTTCTTTCTCCACTATTCTTAGCATATGTCTTTCATTTTCAAGGTCATAATATAACTTTTCAAGACATTATATCTGCCTTCCAGAGAGAAATGCAGTAGGTATCTCTTTACAAGGACTTCTGTCAACATCTCTTTGTTAAGAGCTATGTTACCTGGCCACTGCTAGTTGCAAGGGAGGCTGGGAGACCACCAAATGAAATTCCGTTAATAAAGAGGAAGGAGGGATGGATATTTAGGTAGGGAGCCTGCAGTGTTATCCTCAGTTTATAGATAAGGAAGATGAGGTATAAGAATACTAAGAGCCGGGCGTGGTGGCTCATGCCTATAATCCCAGCACTTCGGGAGGTGGAAGCGGGTGGATCATCTGAGATCAGGAGTTCCAGACCAGCCTGACCAATATGGTGAAACTCTGTCTCTACTAAAAATACAAAAATTATCCAGGTGTGATGGCGTGTGACTGTAGTCCCAGCTACTAGGGAGGCTGAGACAGGAGTATTGCTTGAATCCAGGAGGCAGAGGTTGCAGTGAACGAAGATTGCACCACTGCACTCCAGCGTGGGTGACAGAGTGAGACCCCGTCTCAAAAAAAAAAAAAAAAAAAAGGAATGCTAAGAAACAGGCAAGGCATGGTGGCTCGTGCCTATAATCCCAGCACTTTGGGAGGCCAAGGCAGATGAATCACTTGAGGCCAGGAGTTTGAGACTAGCCTGGCCAAAACCCCATCTCTACTAAAAATACAAAAATTGGCTGGGTGTTGTGGCGCACGCCTGTAATCCCAGATACTCTGGAGACTGAGGCAGGAGAATCGCTTGAACCTGGGAGGTGAAGGTTGCAGTGAGCTGATACCGTGCCATTGCACGGCTGATATCCAGCCTGGGTGACAGAGTGAGACTGGGTCTCAAAAAAAAAAATGCTAAGAAACAATGGGACAAGTAGATCTGACAACATGGCCCATGTCCCTAACAATTTGCATTATACGGCACATTTTTTTTTTTTTTTTTGAGACGGAGGCTCACTCTGTCACCTAGACCAGAGGGCAGTGACGTGATCTCGGCTCACTGCAACCTCCACCTCCTGGGTTCAAGTGATTCTCCTATATATGGCACAATTTTTTAAATGGCTTAGTCCTACTCTCTACTTAAGGTGTGGTATAAACAATATCAGAACACATTTTATGCTACTGTTTCCCTTCTTTGGTAGCTTCTCTTCCTCTTCCCTGCTGTCTTTTTCTTTCAGATCTCAGGGGAGGCTGCGGGTTTTGGTTAGAGCCGAAAGGAAAGAAACTAGTGTCAGTCTTTTGTTTCTCATTTGAAATAGTGGCTAACTCTAGGAAACAATAGACATGTTGATGGTTTCATAAGACTTGGTGAATGATTAAGTGTGGAGCTTGATGTAGAGTCAAACAAAATCTTAAGGTTTTGACCACAAAGTTGTTATATGGACAATGGAAGATACATATTAGTAAGAAAGGAGAATTGTTGGTTTACTTTTCTATGTTAAGTTTCAGATGTTGGCAAAAATTCCTGATGGGTATCAATAAATCTCGTGTAAGTCAATCATAATGAGCAAGTGAGAAGAAAAATAAGGCAAACATATTTGTAAAAACAATGATGATCCTGTCCCTACTGGAATAATAAAATGTATTTGTTTTACCTATGTCGATACCTGTTTATAATACGGCTTTGCATGCCTAAAGATGAAAGAAAAGGCAGTATTTCACAGTTTTGAAGATAAGGCAACAATGACATTTTAAAAAAAAAAGACCAGGCTGGGCGCCGTGGCTCATGCCTGTAATCCCAGCACTTTGGGAGGCTGAGGTGGGCGGATCAAGAGGTCAGGAGATCAAGACCATCCTGGCTAACATGGTGAAACCCCGTCTCTACTAAAAATACAAAAAAATTAGCTAGGCGTGGTGGCACGCGCTTGTAGTCCCAGCTACTTGGGAGACTGAGGCAGGAGAATGGCGTGAACCTGGGAGGGTGGAGCTTGCAGTGAGCCAAGATCGAGCCACTGCACTCTAGCCTGGGCGACAGAGCAAGACTCTGTCTCAAAAAAAAAAAAACCAGAAGCATCACCAGTTTCTATCTATGTCTGCACTTGGGGACAGATGGCATTTTATTAAATTCCTACAAACCAAGTCTATAAATTGGGTGGATGGAATAAACACAAAAATTTGGGAATTCAGAGAGCCTCCGTGATGTATGACATTGGCAAAAATCAACTTCAGATCTCTAAATAGTGGTGAGTGCTGTAACTATTCATCTCATGGATACACTGTTTATTTGAAGTGTGGCAGGCTGGGCGTGGTGGCTCAAGCCTATAATCTCAGCACTTTGGGAGGCTGAGGCAGGCGGATGATGAGGTCAGGAGTTCGAGACCAGCCTGGGCAACATGGTGAAACCTCATCTCTACTAAAAATACAAAAATTAGCCACACATGGTGGTGGGCACCAGTAGTCCCAGCTACTTAGGAGGCTGAGGCAGGATAATCACTTGAGCCCGGGACGCGGAGGTTGCAGTGAGCTGAGATTGTACCACTGAACTCCAGCCTAGGCGACAGAGCGAGACTCCATCTCAACAACAACAACAAAAAGAATGTCACTGTCTTTTTAGTCTTCTCATAGGCTTTATTGCCATATGTGCTGGAAAAATCCATCCAAATTTTTTCATCTGATTTGCATGAGCAATATCTATTTCTGAGGATTATTCATGGATTACCCATAAATATTCAGAACAATGTTCCTGTAGATCTTAATCTTTGCTATATTTGGCTTAGGGTTTTGTTTTCTAAAAAATTTTCCATTTCCTTTCTCCCATTCACCATAAGATTCTCCCTAGTTTACCATTTGGT